ACACTTCTCCAAAGAAGAAATTCAGATAGCCAACAGGCACATGAAAAGATGCTCCACATCACTAATTATCAGGGAAATGCAAATTAAAACCACAATGAGATATCACTTCACACCAGTTAGGGTGGCCAACATAGAAAAGACCAGGAACAGCAAATGCTGGCGAGGATGCAGAGAAAGGGGAACTCTCCTACACTGCTGGTGGGAATGTAAATTAGTTCAACCATTGTGGAAAGCAATATGGAGGTTCCTCAAAAAACTAAAAATATAAAAACCATTTGACCCAGGAATTCCATGCCTAGGAATTTACCCAAAGAAAACTACTTCTCAGATTCAAAAAGACATATGCACCCCTGTGTTTATCAAAGCACTATTTACAATAGCCAAGATATGGAAGCAACCCAAGTGTCCATCAGTAGATGAGTGGATAAAGAAGAGGTGGTACATATACACAATGGAGTATTATTAAGCCATAAGAAAGAAACATCCTACCATTTGCAACAACATGGGTGGAGCTAGAGGGTATTATGCTCAGTGAAATAAGTTAGGCAGAGAAAGACAAATACCAAATGATTTCCCTCATTTGTGGAGTGCAACAACAAAGCAAAACTGAAAGAACAAAATAGCAGCAGACTCACAGACTCCAAGAAGGGACTAGTGGTTACCAAAGTGGACCGGTCGGGGAGCGCCAGTGTGGAGAGAGGGAGAAGGGGATTGTGGGGTATCATGTTTGGTGCACATGGTATGTTGTGGGGTCACGGTTGAAGACAGTGTAGCTCTGAGAAGACAAATAAGAACTCTGTGGCATCTTAATGCACTTACAGACAGTGACTGCAATGGGGTATTGGGGGGGGGGACTCAATGATAAGAGTGAATGTAACAACCGCATTGTTTTATTGTGAAACCTTCATAACAGTGTGTATCAATGATACCTTAATAAAAAAGAAACAAAAAAATAGTATAATAAGAAGTTAATTTTTAACTACCGCCCCACCAGAATATCAAAAAATAGGTAGCAAAGAATCTGGGACAGATTATGAATATCCAAA